AAATTTCATGGTTGTAAATGCCATTCAAGCATCCCCTTTTATATTTTCCTCGGCGTACCAGTTTGCATGCAGCGCATGTCGATTAGTTGCAGAAATCTTTCGCCACGATACCGCGTCGCGCGTTATCCATTTAAATATTTCACAACTCTCCCCCACCCTCTTTTAGATCATTCACCACGTACTCGATTATCCGGGGAGTTTGCTCGAGAAAAATTCTAGAGGCTTTTGTAGAAAATTAGAGGAAATTCCGTCTGTTGAGAGAATTAATGTTGATGAAATTCTGATACTTGGCGATGCTTAAGAAATACTTATTGCATTCTGAGAAGTACTTATTCTAATCCATTATTTTTGTACTCCGTAAAAAGAATGTCTCTTTCATTGATAAAATTATTTTGCACAGTTGTGCTCTTTAAAATAATACTCATTCTATGTCCAAAAATGAAGTAAAATTGAAATGAAAATTACCTATCTTCGATTATCGCAAATTCTACACATTTACGTATCCTAAAGTAACGTAACGCTTATTTAATTCTGAAAAATACCCTAATGCGCCCCAAAAGTGAAGTAAAATTGAAATGAAAATTACCTATCTTCGATTATCAAAAAAAAAAACTCCTTATCACATTGCGAAAAATACAAATTAAAATCGTTTACCAACCATCGTTATTCCACTCACAAGTCAATCGTAACGACCATAACCCTGAAAGAAACAGCCTGTTTCTGCTCATTACACGCACGTACAACTTCTATCTGGTCGCAAGAAGAATTCCACGCCTCCGGATGATCCCGAGCTCGCGTCACCTGTCCGAAGAAAAGCTCGCAGCTCATCTTTTCCACGAATTAAAAAAGTTGCCCGGAGTGGTTTCAGCGGAATCACGCATAATGTCAGCGTGTTTCCATAAGCCTCGCGTGGCACACGTGGTAACAGATTGGAAAAGGGCATAGACAGGGGACCGCTGTACATTTCTACGATCGGTCACCAATAAATATCGAACTTTCATTTGCAGATACCGAGAGGCCACAGCGTCTCTCCGCAGCATCGTTCCACGTTGGATTGCCTTATGCAGACAAAAGGTACGTGTACACAACAACGCTCGCCACTATCCACATGGCGTATAGCCCGTGACAAAAACGGCGGAGAACCGTGGATCGCTGCCGGAAAGATCCTCAGGCTCTTTAAAACCGTTTAACCGTGAAACCAATTAACCTTTCGAGCGACGTTACCAGAGAATTTCCATACCGTTGTTCCGTATTGTCGTCGGAAGACAATGCAGGGACACCGGGAGGCATTGAAGTTCGTGGAAGAGAACTGAATGGTGAGAGAGTTGCATTTTTTTTTTTTTCGTTTGTCTCGCGAGATAAGGAGACCGAGACACTTAGCTTAATGAATGAACGGAGAGAAAGAGGTATTGAAATTGTAACAATTGGGGTACGAGATTGCTTGATTTTCTTTTTCGTAAGAAACATCGATGAAGACTTGAATTAATAAATGAATAAGTAACGAGGAAGTTACTGTTTTGTGAGAAACGTTGAACTTCGGTAGACGAGCGAGTCGACGAGAGAATGTACTGAAATTCGACGAAGTACGGTGTGTCGGAATGAAAAATTGTAAGATAAAAGTGGTAATAGATGCTATTTTCTAAAAATCGTACAAAACGACTATTTTATTTTTCCTGAAATACTGTAAGGAAGTTTCTTTACGAAAACGATTAACTAGAGAAGTTGAAGGTGGCTTTAGAAACTTATTTTTAAAAAATCAAGTCGTAACTTTGAAAATCTTTCGAAATCCTGTCGTCTTCAAAAACCAAAAAAATTTCGATCGATTTACTAACGAAAATAATAAAGCTGGTCACGTTGCACAGTTCACCCTATACATCATCAAAACGTTCTTATCCCAGTACTCTATCAATTACCGTTACTCTCACCACGCTAAATTCAATTTAATTTTCTTCTCTAACCACTCGTATGTTACCTACTCTGCCTGCACTACTTCCTACAAAAATGCTTTCATACCCTTTTAAATAAACATACAAACAAACCCGTCGGTGTAATCTAAAATCGCCGAAAAAGGAAAGAAAAAAACCTGGAAACACGTCTTCGTTCACATTTACGAGGATACAAATTTCAGCTTTATTAATTAACCTTTCCAGTGGCACGAGATCGTCCGGTGTACAAATGACGATTTAAAAAATGAGAAAGCGGACGAAACGAGAAGAGGAACATGAGTGTCGGCGGTATACGGGCAAGGTAAGAAGAGATATTCGCGAGAATTTAGTGCGAATACGTGGCCACCAGCGGTGTGTATATCGATTCTAAATACAGCCACCTCAGAGGATACCCCTTGCTGGCAGGATCTAGCCAAACGTGTTCTACCAGCCAGTGTGGGGAGAGAGAGGAAGAGATTGGCCGTCAGTCAACGAGGCAATGGATGCATTGTGGCCACAGCTTAGCTGGATCTTCCTGCGCGATAACCGAGACGATCCCGATTGCTTTTTCCGATCTTTCCAATGAATCATTGTCTTCCCTTGATACCGCGTGCGAGATAATCCCCGGAGTTACGTTCCACTGTTTCGAGGCTCCTTTCGAAGCGAACGGAATTCGATGACGGCTGCGATAACATTTTTGGACCTATTAGGTACCCCTTGGATGGAAAGCTCGTGGCAGAGAGTGTATGAAATACTACTAGATCGAAGGAAGTTGATAGTTGAACAGAGGTTTAAAAATAGCGCTCTTCGTGGAGATAAAAATGGAATGTTGTACAATAGTTTTCGTAGCTCGATCGAGGGAGTACAGTTCATAATTGGATATTGAATCCTGGGAAGACTGAGAGAAAGGTAAAAAATATATACAAAATTGTGTACTTTAGCTCCTTAATAGTCTGTTTTTTTCTTTTAGTTGAAATTAAAGCTTCCGACAATTTCGGTTCCTTAGGATTAACGTGTTAGATCTGACAGACGACTGGTACTTCTCTGAAGAGCTTCGTTATATTCGGGAATAGCTAGACACGATTGATACTTTTTTCAAAGGCCTAACAATGGGAAATATTCCTTTCTATAGAAGAGAAAATGAGAGAAAGTAGTAACATTGTTACACGTCAGATTGTCTATAATATATGCAGCAAATGATTGATAATTTTCAAGAGGAAAAAACGCAAGTTTCTTAATTTCCTGTTGTCCGTTTTATCAGTTTTAGTAATAACAGATTCGCTAAGTATTAATGTTTTACGACCGCTCCTGAGTTGCGAAGCATGTATAATTACCACGATTCTTTATAAATCAAATTAAGAATGTGCTATTAATATTATCGACGACTGCTTATTCGCTCGATACAAGTACGATATGCAACAGCAAAGACAAGAACATCTTCCCTTCGTCAACTACGTAAACCGGCAATTATAGCTGTAATTATCCCTACACCCTTCATTAGCCGGTGTATTGATATATTGCCCGACTGACATGCAGAACAACCCACCTAAGCCCGTGAATTATTAGCCAATTCCGGATTGCACGCCGCTTCGAGATTTTTCCTCCTTCGTTTTTTTCAACCGCTACGCCGTGCTTTTGCGAATATTCTTTCGTTTCGTGCAGAAATAAAATAATCCGACACTAAAGGGACTGTAAATACCTTAAAATTCGATTACTGCTCGAATTTTATGCAGAAACAGGTGAGAAAAAATTAACGAAAATTAGAAAACAATATTAGTGAAAATTTACTCACATTATCTGCAGCGTTGACGTCGATTTCTCGAAGAAGCAGAGTTTCGCAGACGTCCAAGTGGCCCGCTGCAGCAGCCAATATGAGAGGACCTCTGCCATTCTGTGAAAAAAGAAAATTCACGTTATTCGGTGAATATTTAATGACAGGAAAAATTAGATTTTGTTTAAGAATTACGGATTTAACGGTTTAAGGATTTTGTTTACGTTGAACGTTTCAAGAGGTCATTCACCCAGCTAAGAAAATTTTACGCGAATGGAAAGACGATGAAAGGGAAAGTGCGAAATTTCACCGGCGAATTAAATTTCCCTAAGCACACTTCACCGCTGTTGATTCACGAGCGGATCAATTAGCAAGGTAATTAATAGGTACCCGCATTTCAGTTTGTAACACACGCATTTCTCGTGTCGAATTAGCTGCCGCGATCAGACAGGACGCAGGCTTAATTAGCCGAACAGGGGTTCGTGCAACACGACCCGACGCATCTTTGCAGCTGACTTAGCCGAGACCCTCTATTCTCATGTCCCTAATCTACTCTCTATTCATTTTTAATTACACCTCTTATTTTGAAAAATATTGCCTTAACTTGGTCATTAAAGTCTCGTTAATCTGACCTTTGTTAATTTGTTAATTAATTCCTATTTCGACAAATTTCTCTAAAATCTCTCGATCGTTGCACAATCAACGTTGCAAAATACCGAATAACTTGAATACTCTTTCAGAATTTGAATTGTCACTTACGAAAAATATTAAATATTTCATCAATTTTCTCTACCTTTTGTTTCGCAAAGCTAACCGTCACTCTTTTACAACAACGATGTATTACAAAGCACGGAACGAAATGAAATCGCATTCATCAGGTATAAAATATCTCGGAATGAAATCCAAGTCCAAGAGGTTAATACCATCAATTATCTCTCCATAGATACTGATTTTTCATTTTAAGAAACGTTACCGCGATTGCGGCTGCAATTTCCGCTAAATACCAACAATCTTTCGTTAATTCTTCTTTGAGAAAAAACACTTCTCTAAATAGAAACGTTACCGTGTACAGATTGTACAAAAATTCGTATCGAGATTACAGCTGTAATCACAGGACGATCAAAGTTGTAATCCCCGTTAAATATCGAATTCTGTTTAATACCGGGCTTAAATACCAGGCACATTAGTACGACTATCCGCCTCTTCCTGTCTGATGTTAAAGACATAGGTTACGCAAATTTAACAAATGGCAGTATACATCATTTTGACACGGCTAGTAACCTATGTTCGGATTTCCTGTAAGGTTGTGCCTTGTTGCCTCGGGTAATAGAGCGCACCAACTCGCCGTGTTAATGAAGAAGTATATCTTATCCACGCAACCTTAGATGCAGGAAGCGTAATATATCAAATAGTAAATAGTTAGGGGTATGAATCAACCGGGCTAGGGACGTGTGGGCAACATAAATTTCATTTGAACCAACATCGCGATGCCGTGAAATCGTCTAATTCGTTCGTTTCACGCGGAAACCGTTGAACACCGTTCGCCACTAGCGAAATTAAAAGCCACGCCTTAAGCTTTCGAGTTCGAAACATGTCTCCGATATGTTGGAAAAATTAACCATCGAAGGAAACGAGAAAAATATGGAAAATGTGGATTATTCAAAATTTAAAAAACAGAATTCTTTCGATGGAAGAAATCGATAACTCTCAGGATTAAACCTGTGAAACATAGTCTCGATATGTTTCTACTTGAACTCTGGAATAAAGAATTTTTTAGCGAACGATAGAAATGAAAAAGGAGAATTTTTGTGATAAAATGGTAAGCAATTTTTCGCAATAATTTCTCGTTCTCCTTGAGAAGATACGGTGAAACGTGAAATCTCGTATATACATCAAGATTGCCCGAAGAATTTAAGGAACGCGATTCTATCGGAAACGGGGATTGTTGCCTCTGCCTTTGATCCTCCTATCGATCTCTATAATTTCAATTATTCCACGCATGCGCCGAGGGAGAGCGCGTAATAAAGCACTTTGAGGCTGTTCAAGTCCGCCGGCGGCTAGGTGGAAAAAAGAACCGCGAGACGATTAATTTCATCGGCGCAATTAAGGAGGAAGTAATTGTAATGAATGCATGGATAATCGGACAACAGTGCCCCGCAGCTGGCGGACCAACCTTTTGACAAATGCGCCACGAACACGCTTATCTGCATTCCCACCGACGGCCACTGTCACAACCGAGATTTAAATATGTAACGGAATTAATATACTACATTCCCAGGCTTGTATCCGTTCGGTAAGCTTCTCGTTCGATCAATCTAAGGCTTCGTCGGGTGGAATTAAAAAGTCGAC